GACATTGATCAGTATACAAATTTAATATACGACAGCATGCTGGCACACAGAATTCTGGCTAAGTAAGTTGGGGAAATGCCAAGCACAGATCAAACATTTACCCATGAGTTGAGCAGAGAAAACTCTAAATCTGTGAATGACAGAACTCTGTTTTCACACATCTGTTAAACAACACTGTGGGCAAATTGTTGAGACCAGGTCCCCTCCTCATTCTGACCCAAGAAACAGGAATGGCACATCCGGCCAAATAGATGGGAAAAGGAGATAACGTCTTCAAAACAATGGACTGGATTTTTCATTTACCACAAAATTTCCCTTAAACTTTCCAAAATAATAATAATCCTTGAATTTGACACAGTGCCTTATCACGTCTTTGAGACGTCTCAAAGCATTTCACAGAATGTACTGTAAAGTGACCGTGTGTTTTTGTGGGCGAAGTGCGGCAGTGAATTGCACACAGCAGAGTTCCCCAAACAATCATAGATTGAGTAACCCAATTATTATATTTTACGAGGGATTATTACCCCCGGGAAGTGATCCACCAATTGACTAGCAAGCAGGTTCCTACTTATTGCTGGGTAAACAGAGGCATGTGTGTGGAGTAAGGAAACTTACCTAAGGTTTTATCCCGCCCGGGAATCGAACCCGAGTCCCCTTTGCTTGTGAGGCGAGCGCACTACCCACTACACTACAAGAATTAAACCCCTTTAAAGTCAGCAAATGTTTAACCCAAAAATAAACCGATGCTATAAATTCCCCAAAATACTCCCAAGCAGAAAACCTGCTTTCCACTAGCAAGGCCAGTCACTCAATGCTACTTTTCGTTGCTATGTTTCACTGTGGGTCAAAGGTCCAAGATGTAGTTCACAAGTTCAACCTCAATTTCAATAGGTCACGTGAATGGTGTATTCACAACAATAAATATACATGTACATATAGAGTATACATTCAAACATAAGCAAGATGTTTTGACTTCGGCACTAGGTCAATGCTGCCTGCACCCCATTCCAGCTGAGCTGGTCCCTTGCCTCCTTCAAGGTCGGTCCCAAGACCCTTCTCTTCAACCGTGTCTTTGATCGCCCTTCCACCTCTCTGCCTTCCTTCACCCCTACACCAGCCCTCCCCCATGTTCGGGCCCCAACACCTAACTGTTCAGCGCTTTGGGACATCCTCCCAATGTGAAAGGCGCTCTATAAATGTAATTTTGTTGTTGTTGTTGATGCCATGATTGGGCAACAGAATGTCAGAAGCCAAGGTACTGCTGATGCTAGATCTGCCAACTGCGCTACACCAGCCAGCCTGGCTCATCACTGGGGGCAGGAATTGGTCCCACTCAACTCCTGTTACCCTTTAAAGTTCTATTGGGTAGAGTGATCACATTGGACAATCAACAGTAAGTTTGCCAGAGAAAGCTTTCAATGGCAAACTATGTGGTTTTAACTCATACTCCAATGCACTCTCTAGGGTCCCTCTCTCCAACCTGTAACTGTCCATACTCTCTGGAACTAGGTCCAGGGAGACGATATTTATTCCATTTCAGACACAGGGAAATCTCCACGCATTGGTGGCATATATATTTGGAACTCTCAGACTAACGTGAATACTCTTGATGGGTTTCCACATGTGGCTAACATCTGGCTGACTAAAAACAAAATCCCATTAATTCCCATTGCTAGTGCCCACAGATTTCAGATGTGAAGAATTCAGGACAAGTAGCAAATTTAGATTCCGCAAATTATAACCTGTTGATTAGAAAAAATGTTTTGCTGACAGTGTCCCTTCACCCCCATTCTCATTTCAATGGCTAATTCAGTTGTTTTCTCAGTGGGAAGATATTTGCAAAGTTCAGGTAACAACAAAAGAAAAAAGGAGAGTCTATTCAACAAATTTGATAAGAAAGGGATTGTTTATGGGAGTATGGGTATGCAACAATGTTAGCAATGGTGGATAGTAATTACACCCTAGGGATCCAACTCCTTTAATGCAGTAGTGACATCTAGTGTGTGGGTATCACTATTTCACAATCTGCTGCTTTATTCATCTGAAATAAAGTTTCCAAGCAAACAGTTGCTGAAACAAAAATATACTGAATGAATTCTGCTCCAGAAAAATAACATTTTCTCCCTGGTGTGTTGACCTTTATTGAACGTGATAAATTTCGTTCATCTTTAACGTACAGATCAACCGAAAAACGTAAAGAGTTCGACAGGTTTCACGTTCCCCTTTTTCAGCGCTCCTGTTGTGGTGGTGAACCGAAAAGGACACACAAAAATAGCAGGAAGGGGTAAAATGCCCTAAGCCCAGCGTCTTTTTGAACACTGGAACTGCACGCTGCCCTTTTTTAACGCAGGGAGAAGGAACACCATCAATCTTTTGTTTTGAAAGCGGAGAGGTCTATTCAAACGCCTCTATTCTCTTCTGCCTTTTAACGCGGACTCGGTAGTAAATTTCACACCAGCACTTCCATAACTCCTCGCAGCCACTTTCTGTGCCCGAATACCTGAGCCTTCACAGCCATTTCTCACCGAACTCTGTTCCGCACAGTAAAGATGCCAAATCTTCCCAAGCAGCTGAGCCCTATTAAATACGTCACATCTTAACACTCTGGGGACACCTCTTTGCTTAAAACCACAAGAACAGCGCCGATCACGGCATCAAATGCCACAGCGATGATGGGGAAATGTAACATCAGCGAAACGTACATCAAAAACTGAGGGGGAACTTGTTTCAGGGGAGGCGGGGAAGTCAATACCATTCGCATTAAAGGATTAAAGTACTGATGGATCCTCTGCCCCCCTCTTACTATTGAGATTGCAAATCAATCCGTGGATTTTTAAAACGTTATCCTCCAAGTACAATATTTCCCAATCTATACCCAGACACTCGATATGTATATGTATGTATATATATATATATATATGTAAGCGCTTCGGGTCTCAAATGTTGGGAGGCAGATGCTGTTCGAGTAAAAAAAAATGCTTACACGTTACAAAAAGAACAGGGACTTTGCCAAAAAGAGGGAAGAAATAAATCACTTTCGCTGTACCCTGGAATCGTTCATAACTTTTTTTTTTAAAAAACACAACCGATGTAGTCGCATCGCAGCCCAGCGACAGCGCTCGAAAAATGGTGCCTTTATAATCAAATGAACACCGCGCGCGAGAAAAAAAAAACAAAAAACCACTATTACGGATTATCGAACGTCTGCTCTTTTTTTTTCGGGGGCAAAAAAAAAATCGTCGATCTTAACTGGAGGTTTACAGCTCAGAACACGGCCCCACATGTGGAACAAATCACCGCGATGGTTTAACCGTCAGAGGCGACTCGGAAGGAAGATCTCGACACTTCTTCTGCTCCTCAACTTAAGTGACTGCCGGTGAAATGTAACCTTCTGCAGTGCAGCGAGGAGCACTGTGTCTGTCTCTTTCCCCATTTTTTTTTGCTGCTGAATGTACTTTTTCCGACCCTGCTTTAAAACTTCAACCCCCCCCCCCCACCCCCCCCCCCCCACATCCCCTTCCCCAGTGGGACCCACATACAGCAGGCAATGATAGATCAGCTCTATGGAAACGCAAGGGGCTAAACACAAGCCCGGGGGTGGGGGTACACGACATTCCCAGCCATCCTATGAAACGTCAACTGTATTATATATATGATTTCATTAATATTTCAGAAGCGGCGGCGGCGGCGGCGAGGAAACTGTCAAAGCATAAAACGCGGGGGGCTGCGGATTTCTTTCGGATGCAGAAACCTGGCCCCAAACCAAACGGGAAGGACCTATTCGCTGAATGTTCCCACAGTGAGGGGGGGGGGAGGAGGAATTGGTCGATCCGGTAAAGCCCCCCCATCAAAACATGTTCAGGGTGGGGGGGGGGGGGGACCTCAAATTTTTTTTTAAGACGACGATAATGATTTTACTTTCTGTGCGATGAGCACATCAGAGACCAATGACCGCGGTTCAGCACAGGTTCTGCCCCGATCCCGCTCACTCCCGCACACAATTTTACACGTACACCCAAACAACACCGGTGGGATTTGTTGGGACAGAAATATTTCAGGTGAGTGACCACTCTCCCCACCCCCCTAAAACTATCTGACAAGACCGTGGTAGGGGGGTGGGGGGAGGATGTGTGTGTGTGTGGGGAGGGAGGGGGTGTGGGGGGGGGGGTGGGGGGGAGGGGGTGTGTGGTGGGGGGGGTGTGGGGGGGGAGGGTGTATGTGGGGGGGAGGGTGGGGGGTGTGGGGGGTGTTTGTAGGGGGGAGGATGTGTGTGTGGGTGTGTGTGTGGGGGTGAGGGATGTGTGTGTGGGGGGGGTGAGGGGTGTGTGTGTGGGGGGTGAGGGTGTGTTGTGTGTGGGGGGGGTGTGTGTGTGGGGGGGGGAGGGAGGATGTGTGTGTGGTGGGGGGGGGGGTGGGGGGGAGGGGGCACACTGGCCGAGCTTTCAATACCAACGAAGAGATGGCAGATATTTATTGATAAGACGTCTTGTGCGCAACAACAACACACAACTCCAGTAGAGCGTTACATTCCTGAACTCCGCGAGTTCAAACGACAGTGTTTTGGACAAGGAAAGGGTTTCTTAAATCCATGACAACATCACAGGGAGAGCGAGAGAGAGAGCGAGCGAGAAAAAAAGAAAAAGAGAGAAAAAGAGAGAAAAAGAGAGAGAAAGTGTTAAAAGTTTTCCGCAGCCATCGGGACAGCACTCCCGCGCCGCGCGCCCCCTCAACACCGTTTCAAGCGCGTCGGCCGCGTGATCGATCGATTCGATCGATCCGATCGATCGGTTCGGATCGATCGCGACCGACGGAAAACCAAAGCCAGAGCGAGGGTTATCGATTCCCCCAACGCGTTCGGTTCGGTTCGGTTGACGTTTCACAGGGCGAGGGGAGAGAGGGGGGGGAGAGAGAGAGAGAGAGACCCCCCCCACACACACACACCCCCACCCCCTCAGGGGTCTCCTGTGCTGTGTGTTCGGGACCCTCTGGGGTCGGCTTACCTTCTTCCGGGGCTGCCATTTCATCATATTTGTAAAGCAAAATTGTGGAGCATCAAGAGGTCGGATGGGCACCCGGAGCGGCTCGGCAGCGGGAGCAGCGGCTGCACATACTGACAGGCTGCCTCTGCCTCCTCTCCCCCCACACACACCCCCACACCCCTCCTGCTCCCCCTCCTCTCCTCTCTCCTCAGAGCCACGGCATCATTTCAGACAGATCCCGGCAAAAGCAACGGCGGAGCTGCGGCGTCGGCGTCGGTCTCTCCTCCTAAAATCCCTGCAGTTCCAGGGGTACAGCAGCATAATTCTCGTCGTCGTCGTGTCGTCCCGTCCCGTCAACAACCTTCCCTCCCCTACCCCCCCCCCACCACCCGCCCACCCCCTCTGGCTCTCAGCTGTGGCTAATCTCTCCCTCCGCTGAGGGGACGACGACACCGCCACCACCGCCGCCGCCGCCACTCGGCTGCAGGACCAGAGCTCGAGCTCCGCGCTGAGGTGATGGAAGGAACGAATGTTCTGTGGCGGGCGGGCGGGCGGCGCGCGCGGCAACGCCGTCCTCCCTCCCTCCCGCCGCGCCGCGCGCAGCTCCGCGCGCTCGCGCGAGTGCGCACGCGCCACTCCCTCCCGCCGACCGGCTCGACGCCCGCCCGGGGGCGGGACTACAGCCCCCACAATGCAACGGCGCACACTGCCGAGCGTGCGTCACCAGCGCAGGAGCAATCTGCGCAGGCGCGAAGGTGGGTGGGTGGGTGAATGGACAGAAGTCTACTCTGGAGAAGTTACCATCAGGGCATCAGTTCTGGGTTGGAGTCGTGAAAGGGGTGTGGGGTGGGGAGGGGGGCAATGCACTGACGCCCATTTTTTTTTGTGGGGGGAGGGAGGAAGGGGGCAATGCACTGACACCCATTTTTTTTGTGGGGGGAGGAAGGGGGTCAATGCACTGACACCCATTTTTTTTATGGGAGGGGGAGGGGGCAATGCACTGACCTTTTTTTTATGGGAGGGGGGCAATGCACTGACACCCTTTTTTTTGTGGGGGGAGGGAGGAAGGGGGCAATGCACTGACACCCATTTTTTTTTGTGGGGGAGGGAGGAAGGGGGGCAATGCACTGACACCCATTTTTTTTGTGGGGGGGGAGGGGGGCAATGCACTGACACCCATTTTTTCTGTGGGGTGGGAGGAAAGGGGGCAATGCACTGACACCCATTTTTTTTTGTGGGGGGGAGGGAGGAAGGGGCAATGCACTGACACCCATTTTTTTTTGTGGGGGAGGGAGGAAGGGGCAATGCACTGACACCCATTTTTTTTTGTGGGGGAGGGAGGAAGGGGGGCAATGCACTGACACCCATTTTTTTTTGTGGGGGAGGGAGGAAGGGGGGCAATGCACTGACCTTTTTTTTATGGAGGGGGCAATGCACTGACACCCATTTTTTTTTGTGGGGGGGAAGGGAGTCAATGCACTGACACCCATTTTTTTTGTGTGGGGGGAGGAAGGGGGCAATGCACTGACCTTTTTTTATGGGAGGGGGAGGGGGGCAATGCACTGACCTTTTTTTTATGGGAGGGGGGCAATGCACTGACACCCATTTTTTTTGTGGGAAGGGGAGGGAGTGGGGGCAATGCACTGACACCCATTTTTTTTGTGGGGTGTGTGGGTGGGGAGGGAATTGCAATGGGGGGGGGGGGTTGCACCAGAATGTAATATAATAACATAATGCCCGCCTTTGATGCAGCGCCCTTCGTCTATTAATTTTCAATCACGGCTCACGCATCGCTGTGTACGTTCAACTTGTGACAGTACTCCGTCGAATGGCGGAGGAGCGGTGCCGTGCCTCAGCAGGATGTCAGAAATACGTCAAGTTAAAAACGAAGTGATTTTGTTCGTCGCTGCTTTTGAGAATTTCTCAGAATTACACGAGAATCCTGTAGGTGGGGTTGCTGTACAGGTTTGGAAGCGCGACAAGTGAGTGAGCCAAGCATAGTCGCCAGAGATTGTTTCTACCTGGCGCACTCTGAATGGTAAAGTCACATAATTCTCTTGCCAATTCTACATGGAGTATGCCAGCAAACATTGAGCAAAGCTTCCGCATAGATGATGTTTATGGTTAAAAGGGTTAAATATCATGATATCTACCTTTCTTTCTCACCTCATTTCATTACACGGTCATAATTGTACTTTTATATTGCTATTTTGGTCTTTCTACATAGCCATCGCAATTGAACATAAAAAGAGAAAGTCATCAGCTCTTCTTTATTTGCAAATCCCATGACTCCCCAAATTGGTGTCTGAGGTTCAACCACTGCACGAAAGAGAAAGAAATGTGGATTGCAGGGGACAGTCAAAATTAAATAATCATTCGTATCTCTCAGCCTGGTAAGATGATATTTCAAAGTCATTCATCATTCTCCTTTCACAGGATGTGGCAAATCTTTCAGTGTGTGCTTATAATTGAATATCCCATTATATCCACACATCGAAACATATAGCAGGTTCATTTCCAACCACTGTGACAATCTACAGTGTAATTCTATAATGTTAGAGAATCTGTAGTAATGCAAACAGTAGAATTCTATCATCCAATAAGTTCCAATATTTTGTGGCTACTGAATTATTAGCATTAAGTCATGTTTGGTTTACAGAAGAATCTGTAGTCTCAAATGGCAAGTAATCATCAGTCTGTTAATTCATTTTCTTTTAGAATAAACATTATTGTCTTCTTAAGTGTTATCTGTTTGGATTGACAATTCAGTGTAATTATTCACTCTAATTTGATTGATGGTCTATTCTGTCATTACATTCACAGTCAAATCAGTCTACCTTGGGTCCTGTCTTCTGAGATCATAGCTAAAATCTTGTTTGTCTCCAATATATTCAGTCAAGGATAAAAACCTGGAACTAATTGATACCAACATTTCCATTTTGTTTTAAATGAGAATTCCAGATATCTAGAAATGCACATTATGTTACATTACTTATTCACAATATAATGACTGCTATTGATTTCAAATAAAATTGGCTTTTTTAAAAAAAAATTAACCTACTGTGGTGATATTTTTAAACTTTACTTTCTTTGTTAAACCGATTAATGATCTGCCTCTTTCAAGAATAATTTTAGATATTTTCTTACCTGCTAAAAAGTGTAAATCAACTGGTAACCACAAGTTGACTGGATGACACAAGTTATCAGAATTGTCCTTATACCTCTAGGACTTAAGTTAACTTTAGCTGAGAAAATATGACATCCACTTTCTCTCCAATGGCTGAACATATTTGTATTCTAAATAAGTTTGGGCAGTATTACTTTAGTTCTCAGCAGACACAAATCCACATTTCCCTTCACTATTAGTACTTATTGATTACAATCTGGATTACAGCCAAGTTGCATTAGGATCTGTTGTTACTTGTACTGATAGAAAGTTTCCAGCTGTCAATTTCTCTCTTTTTCTTTCATTAAAGAGTTTTGAAAGGTATTTTGAGGTATCAAAATAACGGAATGCTTCAGTGAAGTTCACTCAAATATTTATCTTTCCGGGGAGCTGAGACTACTTCTTTCAGCTATCTTCTCCCTTTTCACTTGTTTAAAACAAGTTTAATACAAGTGAAATAATACTTTATTTTAAAGTTGTAATATTCCCTCGTGTTTTCCTCTTTCCAATCAAGGAACAGAAGAACAGAAAGAGAGCGTTTTGTCCGTTGAGTCTGATTCACCAATTTATTAGTTGAAGGAAAAGCTTTTAATCTCGTCTCCCCACCTTTTCTCCATATGCCTTAATACCTTTACGTCCCCAGTAGAATTGGTACTAAGTACTAATGATGAAGGGGTAGGAGGAGATCAGAGGAGGTACTAGAGCATGAAGGGATTTACAAACTGATGATCTTTACGTGAGCCTGCAAATTTTCAGATTGAGAGTTTATTATAATCTCTGAAAAATTTACCAAGAGAACTTTTACCAAAAATATTATATAGCCACATATTTCATGTGTGCCAAACTTTAATAAGATTTGGGGGGTGGGGGGGGGGGGTTCTGAAACGTTATATTTGTAAGCTTTCCAAATTCCTATAATTTTATTCTATACGTTTTGCTACAGTATTTGATTTTGCTGCGGTAATCACTTTTCAGAAGGATCTTACTTTGAATCAAGATCAATGAACAGAGATTAATCACTAGTTAGTATGACTTTGAAGATTATAAATTTGACCTGAAATCAGTGAGCACGTTGTTAGGATTAGGAAATATTGGATCTTTTATTACACGAGATGAAACAAAAGAGTTGAAAGCAAAGTGGTCCAAAACAGCCCATAGTGACAATTACTCAATCATACATATTCTATGAAATCGTTTCCACAAGTGGACTGGGTTGTGGATGATTTCTGGTAAATTGTGCACATTAATAGTGTTTACATTTCTGAAATAGTGTTGCTTTGATAGGAAATCCATGGTGATCTAATTAAGACACTTATTGTAACAAAGCTCCAATCTGTCAGAGGCATCTGCATTATTTTTCGAAGAAATGTCAAGCCTAGAGGTGATTTCAAGACGATCTTCATGCAAAGAGTTCTCACACAATTAAAATGTCCTATTAATAGTAATTCAGAAATTAAACCAAGCATCTATCAGCAGAAATATTCTTGTTGCAAAGAGCTTCACATTTGTAACTCAATTTAACAGACCGTTACGGAGACTCACATTGTTGGTGGTGTTATTTTGATTGCAGAAGAGAGCTTTTATGGTATGTTGCTGACAATACACATGGCAATAGTGCTTCAGTTTTGTCAGATACAAGAAACATACTCACAAAAATACAATCACTGCTAATTACAGTATATCCAGAATCAATAATAAAACTAGAACTTCCTTCTCTCTCAATGCCTGGTAGGTGGGAATATACTGCAGTATTTGTGTTTCATTTTGCATTGTTTGACAGACCTAAAACAAACCTCTTTATGCAATGCCCCTGGAGTTGAAAACCTGCCTCGATGAAAGAGTCTTTAGATTTTGTTGAGAAAGATCTATGCATCATTTTGTAAAATACTGGAACGACAACGCCAAGCATTCTTTGAACTGTTGTTTTCTTCTGGTTTCTTCATTCTAATTAACAGGGCGATTGAGGCATTGTTAACCAAAGGTTGCTATACAGAGTCCAAATGCAATCAGATGAATACAATAGTTATTTCACAGCATTCTAGTTGGTGTAAATATACATAAATGGGACACACGAAAACTCAAGAGATAAGAAAAGGCCATTTGACCTACTGGTTCATCACTTTGAGATGACCTTCCACACCGATTGTGAGTGTGGAAATCCTATATGACCGATCTTTCACATGACTGAATCACACAAGAATCTCCTCGATG